AGTGTTTCAGTCAATGTCTGATACAGCCATCTGGAAAAGGGGCATATATTTTCTCCAAACATTTTCAACCCTATATCAAATAGGGGAAGTAAATGATAAAATCTGATAGTACTGTAGCCATCTACCAAGTCTATATTAAATGCTAATGTATAGATTCATCTCTTCCTCCTTAGTCTTGCCAGTCTACACTATATTCACTTCTATTGTACAGTTTAATTGTCATAAATATGCAATTCCACCTTCCCTACAAGACTACACCTTCTTTGAACTCAATGATCATTTATACATCTTTTTTCCTTGTTGTTTAGCTTAAAACTAGCACATATTAATAATTATTACTTAAATTTGTGTCTACTATCTTCAGTGTGCTATAATGGGTGCTTAAAGACATCTCATTTAAGTATCAATACTCTCAATGTAAAAATCACGTTTTCCCCTCAAATTTACAAATGAAGAAACTAAAGCTCAGAGAAGTAAAGTGCCTTGTACAACATGTACAGTTAGTGAGCAGTGTAGCCCAGATCCAAACCTGAGTGAAACTCCAAAACCAGGGGCCTCCTTGTTACCCTCCATTGCTTCCCAACACATGTTAAGTCTGGTGTTTTATAGACATGATTTTCTCACTTAATCTTCAGTGTTATAAGTTAGATATTATTTCTACCATTTTACTGGAGTGAGAACTAAATAGATACACGTAGAAGGTGCTCTATAAAAATGTTTGCAGACTGAATCCAGTATTTACAGGGTAGCACTGGGAAGTAATTAAAGATGACAGGAGAAAGCATGTATGAGCTCAAATGCTGGTTGTACCTCTTACCCACTCACTGCCTGATACCAAGTGAGGTGCACAAAAGTTTTTAAGTTCTAGAGTCTTTATCAGTATACTTTCTTTAAAATGTAGTTACCTGGATTATTATTATAAAAAATTGGAAGCATACTATGCATCTGTCAATTCTTTTTCTATAACAAAATGTCTTAGTTTACAAGAATTGTTCTAGATTATTTATTGTCTAAATTTTGTGTAACCATTCTCAGCTCATAACCCCTAAACTTTAAAAGTTATGTGAATAAATATTGCCTTTTAAAGGTTCAGTATTCATTTTTAAGCAATAAAGACATATGAGGTATATCATGATAAAGTCATGATGGGATCCATTACACTGTGGTAACAACTACAAGTTCTCAGGGGTACTTCAGGCCCGCAGAGGATTTTACAAGAGCCAACCTTTGTTCAGCAACCATAAGATCAAAACAACCAGGGCCGCTGACCTCCTTGTACTGTCAGTGTTTCAGGTTGTTTGATCATCTGTTACCAGATGAATAAGTGCCAGAGAGTCTCACACTGGCAATTCAATGTTTTTCCTCTAGGAAAAATTCAATCATATATATATAACTTTTACTCAGCTTCTTTTTGGGTAAACCAAGTCAAATGGACACATCTATCCTCAAAATTAGAGAAAGTATCTTCACAGGAGAAGAAACTTTAGTGAATTCTATTAAAATTTACTTTAGTGAATTCTATTAAAATTTACTTTAGGATAAGAGGAGAACACATTTTATTCTATAACTAAGAGGTGCTTAAGAAAAGCCTTGCATGAGTTAAAGATCAAGGGAGCTACTCAATCCAAGGTTTGGAGAATTTAAGAGAGACAAATGTGTAGCTGGATTTGTCTGATTTTTCTCATGCTCTAAAAAGAAGAATGAAAAGTTTCTACTTAGTCTTATTAGGAAAGACAGTGAAAAGGAAATCAATTTCTTTTTCTGGAAAAGAATGACAGTAAGAACAAAAATAATTGTGGAAATTGATTCTGCCTTATTCTGGGTGTCTCCAAGTCTTAATGGTATTTAGAGAAAAATGCTCTCCCCTGGAATAAGGTGGGTCAGGTAGGCATTCTTCATATCTGTGTGTTGATCTTCCACTATCAAACCACGTCAGCAGCTCTCTAATTCCTTTTTCAAAGTGACATTTTGACGTTGACAGCACAATTGTCCTCCTCCTTCTTTCAGAAATGAAGCGATTTAAACTGCATGGTGATGCATGCCTGTTATCCCAGGGACTTGGGAGGCTTCGGCAGTAGGATCACAAGATTGAGGCTAGCCTCAGCAACATAGTTAGGACCCATCTCAAAATATAAAGGGCTAGGGGTATGGCTCAGTGGTTGTTTACCCCCAGTTTCAATCCCCAGTTACAAGAAGAAGAAAAAAAAAAGAAGGAGGAGGAAGAAGAGGAGGAGGAGGAAGAGGAAGAGGAGGAGGAGGTGGAGGAGGAGGAGAAGGAGGAGGAGAAAGCAAGCAAATTAAGTACAAAGAGGTCAAAGCCATACTTACTTATACAATTATTACATAACTGAGTTGAAAACAAAAGTCAAAATCCTTGACCTGCAGCCCAGGTTTCTACTATATAATTCTACCTGACTACAGAATCGGACAGATCTAAGCCCATTTGCTGAGAGAACTATCATGGAAGTAAATCCTCCTTAAATAAGCCTAAACATGAGTTTCTGTTGTGATAGCTTCATTTTACTCATGCCTGCACACAAACAGTATACCAAGTCAGAAGCCTACTGTGCAAGACAAGTTGAATCAATTCAGGTGATGTTTTACAAATATGACTCAATCTACTAGTAGATCAGAGATAAATAAAATATAGCAAGCTTACTGACTTGGGATTCATGCTGACTTTCAGCTCACCTGAAGTGGGGAGGAATTTCAAATCTAAATTGGCTTTTACTTCTTGAACCACGGTGCTTTAGTAATAAAGGTGGCGGCAAGCAGACACCTACTTGGATTTGTTCCTATGTCTGTTCACATAGCCATGGTCTGTGAATGTGTCCTGCATATACAGGGATACCTCAGAAAGCTTCAAATAAAACCAGTGATTTTAAGAAGGGTAGACACTGAAACTGTTTGACATAAATCAGGGAGAAGTGTCTTTGGATTAACTAGCCTGAGAAACAATGTTGACAAAACACAAATAAGCCCCCTAGCCAGTTTTTGTCAATTTGGTTGTCATTCATTTTGAAAGCTAGAGGACTCATCTCTTTGTACTGTTTAAACATCATGACAATCTCTATTTACTAAATGGGAAAAACATAATTAATTCCTAAGTGCAGCTTCTCATCTTTATGGCACTTTAACCCTGCTTCTAGCAGAATTGCCTATGCAAAAGAGGTACATTGTTTGGCAATGGTTTTGTTTATGAATCTGCAGTTTCCTCCTTTGGGAAATGGTAATGATACTTTGCTGAAATGTTACAAGTGAAAGACAAACTAGGCAGCACAAGTAAATAATGGGAGGTGGTATCTGAAATAAAATAACTAATATTGGAGACATTTCTTTGATTAAGGATCTATCAGTTGTCAGTGTGGGGTCAAACTTGATCATCTAACTGAATCCGATTCAAAAGTAAGATGCCATGATATCTTATGCTATTTGTTATCTGCATAGAGCAGGAAAAGAGAAAGAGCTCATTCATATATAGTTTAAGTTAAAATTCTGTCTCAGTTTTAAAAAGGGAATACACAGCACCCTACAGTCAGTCAGATATGGTTATTTTTGTGTCAAACCAGGGCAATCTCATTTAAAAGAAAAAAAAAAAACATGGAGAAAAAGAAAGAGCTAATCTTTGAAAATGTTCTAGGTAATGGGCACTTTATGTAATTATCACATATTATTGTCACAGCAACCCTGGAAACAGGAATTATTATCTGCACATTACAATTAAAGTTGAGGTTCTACAAACCCCAATCTCTTGCCATATGCACACAACAAGCAAGAGAGCTTGCCGAATTCCTACTCATTTTGGCTCTAAAATCCACATTCTTTCCTCTTATACTATGTGGCCATTATAATTTTACAATGGTTTGAACAGGGATGGGTAGTTATTTAAATAAAGAGGCTTGCATTTTTTATTACAAACAACATACTACTAAGACAGAAACTAGTTAATTAAGTTATGGAGGAAAATATTTTACAAACCACTTTCTAAACATGAGTACCCTGGAATTGTATCTTTTTGGATTCCTACTATCTGAGCCATCATAAAGGTGACTTTACATTTTAGTATAGCATGTCTCAACCTTGGAGTCATTATTTATTACATATTCTGGAAGAATTGTAAAGAAAACATCAATGATCTGGTTTTTTTTTTCTAAGACAAATTATTTGTGATATTTAAAATTTTAAAGGGCTCATGAACATCTTTCAGAAAACCAATGCTTATTCTTATCTTGTATTTGGAGGAACAAACCTAGAGATTTTTTCCCCTTTGTAATGGGGATTGAACTCAGGGGTATTTAACCACTGAACCACTTCCTCTGTCATTATTTATTTATTTTTGTATTTTATTTAGAGACACTGAGTTGCTTAGGGCCTTGCTAAGTTATTGAGGCAGGCTTTGAACTCGTAATCTTCCTGCCTAAGCCCCCCAAGCCTCTGGGATTACAGGCATGTGCCACCACATCTGGCTAAATGTAGAGGTTTTAAAATTCACTTTTTTGTTTGTTTGTTTGTTTGTTTGGTGTGTGTGTGTGTGTGTGTGTGTGTTTTGCAGAACAAATTATAGGAATTCATTAAAGCAAAGCAAAACAAAGCTCCCGTAGCTGTGAGGGGTATCAAAAAGATTGATGGGGAGCTGCTACTGTCTAGGGGTTCATGTGGTACAGCTGAAGGTGACTTTTAATCTCATTGGCTACCAGTTAGAGGAGGAGAGCTTCTAGCCAGGTACCAGGTAAGACACCCAGTATCTTGAGACATCCATGCAACCTCTGTCCAGTCAAGATATTGATCACACTTTATTTCCTTTTTTAAAAGAAGTTGTAGCTCCAGATCATGCAAGCCCCAGTTTTGGTAAGATGTTATTTGTAAGCTTCGCACAAAGAGTTTGTTATTTGTGTTGGTCTGATCAAGGAAGTTGACTCAAGCCCCTTCACTTTTCTAGCATATGCATGTTTGCCCCAAGGTAAATGTGGGGACTTAGAATGTGTAGTTCCTGATTTTACCTGAAGATGGCATCCATCCCAAAGTTGTATGTGATTTGTATGAGGACTCTCTTCAAATTCACAAGCACTGTCATAAAATCCTTTCTACTGACTGGAAAATTTGTGCCATGTATGGTAAATGACTCTTCTTTAAGTGCTAACATGCTGACATGTTCTTCAGATGGTTGAAGATACACCTCTTCTTGGGCTGTGCTGATTCTCAAGCCATTTCCCTAAGGAGGGTAAAAAGTATATCAAGATAAGATTGATAACCAGGCAAAAAAAAGTAAAACAAAAAAATTTGTATTTGGATTATTTATCCTATAAATTATTATCAGTAGGTTTTGGATTTTAGGTTGGCTTTCCTTATTGTTCCATGCATTTTCAGAATACATGAATTTAAATATTAGCTTTCACCAGATGCACTGCAAAGTATAAGCGTCTTGGTTTTGTATGATCCCACTTCCCTCATGAACTAAAATAACAGATAGCTGGCAAGGCCTAAGCATGCGTGTGATTATAGGCACCCTGATTTTACACATGAACACAAAAATTATATATTTCGAAAATATTAGTTGATGGTAAGGACAATAGGGAAGGAAGCTTTACTTAATTAAGCTATTCGTGTAAAGGACTTCTATGTACATAAGTAAAACAAATAAAAAAGGTCTATATACAATGATTACAGTAGGAGACTGGCATAATAATAAGGAATATAGATTGATCTTGAACATTTAGTTTGTCCTTGTATTAGTTCATTCATATTAATGACACATAACTTCTTAATATCTATCTTAATATCTATCTAACTAAAATTCAGACCACTTCATCAATTCTGAAAAACATTCATTTAGAGGAAAAAAAATCTGTCATTCTGTCACTGATCCACATGTTTGAAATGTTTAAGGGAAAGAATAACAGAGGCTGTTTACTAACGGGCTAACGTGACTTCTACCTTTTGGAATCATGAATGGAAATGCATGTGTATGCCTTTGAGTATGTGTGACTATGGGGCAAGGGTAGACATAACTGAAAAGGGAAGGGAGCACTTCTAGGATTACTCTTGGTTTCCAGCATTTGGGAATTGACTACTAACATCCAAACCCTGAAAGCAGTTTCTCCTATGTTTCATACCTAAATTGGGATTTCAAAGTCAAGCTTTAACTGTAGCCTATAGCTAAATGAACTGGTTTCAATTTTTTTTCACTTATTTATGACTGATATAAACAAGGAAATAGTAAAATCTACGTGGAAGCAAGGGGAGATGGAAAATTTATATAAACTCTATAAATCAGCTTTCACCTAAACACTGTCATCATACTTATAGTCACAGAAACATGATCATCATACTCTAAATTTAAATTTATAAGTCGGGTCCAAAGGTTTCCATTATTATTAGAACCCAGTGAATATATTTAGTTTTCTAGATATGTCCTTAGAGTGAGACATAGGAATTACACCCCAAAAAAATTCCTAAGATTTTTTTTTTCTTTAGAATTACGTAAATTAATTTCAAACCAACCAGGTAAAAAGAGCCTGAGTAACCTGAAATGACATATGGTGTACTAGGGTTACAAAGCAATGTGCTTAGTACACTACCTCTAAGAGGACCATCAGCTGGAGAACATACTCTGTATCTTCTTCCTCTTCCTCGAGGTCATATGAGATGGTAAATGTCAACTGTCCTCCTACGGCTGGGAGCTACAAGAGAGGAGATGCATAATCATTATGGCACAGGAGATAGGTTATTAAATCATATTTTACTTATTATTTTGAAATAATTTTATTTTTCTATAGGGCAGTATTTGGAAGAAGCAGAAATCACCAGAGAAAAGAGTATTGATGACAGACATTTCTTTAGGAGTAACCTTTAAACGAAACCTTACCCATCAACTATAAGCCTGACATAAATATAAATTCATGTACTGTTTCCCCCAGTGTGGCAGGATTGCTGAACAGGTTAAGTTCCATGAAACCAATACAGTCCTTTCTGTCATTTTCTCAGTCTGTAGTATGAGCTTTATAATTCCCAAAAGAATAAGGATCATTGTCAAAATTAAAAGATTTCTATCCATTTTCTCTCCACTGTCTTTGGGTCTTATGCAGCCAATGAAGATCTCTCTCCATTTGAAGGGCATTTTACCAAGACCAAAAGCTAGATGAGCTTTTGTTGTTGGTCAAAGGAAAATAAAAAAATAGCACACAGGATGGGGTTGTAGCTCAGTGGTAGAGTGCTTGCCTAGCATGTGTGAGGCACTGGGTTCGATTCTCAGCATCACATGTAAATAAAATAAAGGTACATTGAGAACTAAAAAATAAAATAAAATAAAATAAAAAGAAGATCAGCACCAAAATTTATATTAAAATGCAATCAAAGTTGCCTAAGAAGGTATACTTACCCCTGTCAAACAAATAAGCTTAGTTTGAATGAAGGTTATTATTCCCTTTTCATTAAACGAATTTATTTCCTTCAAACATGCAAGCCAAGCCTCCTACAATAAGTGCTGGAGGTTTATATTTTCTGTCATTGAGAGTAACCTTGCAGAAACTTATAAAAAAAAAAGGAATGCAATATCATTTATAGTACAGGAATCAAAATTGGAGCTGTGACTGACAGATTCAATGCTAATGCTGCACTTCTTACTTTAAAAATTCTACTCTAGCCTTGTAAATAAAGACATTCATAAAACAAAGTTGATGATTTGTATTCTGCTGTTTGCTCTTTGCTGACATGCAGAGACCCAGCTTTGCAGCCCTTGGCTCTCTGTGGCCCTTCATTGCAGACTCTGACCAGAAAGCAATTCCTGGATAGGCACTGGATAGAGGAGGAGGAGTCCTGATTCCTTTCAGAGTTGTTCCATTGGGACTGCACATAGCTTGCTATGGCTGATTAAACAGGATTTTAAATTGTAGCTCTGCACTGTCTTCTAAGAGCTCATTACATGGTGTTCTAGAAGGAACAGAATTTCTGAAAACTTTTATTTCCCTACTCCACTGAGAAATGGTCCCACTTTAATGTCTTTTCACATATAAAATAATAAATATCTGTCTGGACTATAGCATTTGGCATTATTGTGAGTAATGAGGGGTGAATATATATAAAAGGCTTTGGGTTCTATTAAAAAAGCATCCAAAATTTTACAGAGCATGCTTGTTCAAATCAGCCAGACACTTTCTCAATAAGAGGAATCCAAAAAGGCAGCAGAAAAAGAAAATGTTTTATATTTTTCAAAGAGGACTGGACTACTTAGAATTTTCTAAATTAATTAAATTATTCAGTCAGAGGTAGACATTGTTTGGGAAGAACATTGAAATATAGGTCTGTAACATTCCAAAATATTTTGGACTTTCAAACATATTTTGATTATTTAAAATTTGCATTACATTATTTTTATTGAATATGCTTATCTAAAATTTAAAAATTATATTAACTAAGAAAATTCCTACAGAAAACCAAAGATAAAGAATTTTGAATTAAAGGCAATATTTTATTTTGCTAATAAAAGCCAAAATGTATATAATTTGAACATTCAGTTTTAAGACTATATATGAAACAAAAAAGTTCACTTATACTATTTGATTTTTAATATACTTTCTATACCTACTTGAAATATTTATAAAGTCTCATAACACATATATAATATGAGAGAGGAAAGGAAAGGAGTAATGGGGAAAAGAACTAAATAAATATATAAGAAAAGAAGTGTCTCATGCAGGTCAGTGATAATGTAAAATACAAGTAAGAAGTAGGCCCTCTATTCACTCTAATAGTAATGAAAAATTATGCTTTCACTCATACTTTATAAACCAATGTATTGCAAATTCTTTCAGGCATTTTGATAGTCATATTTTGGAATTAATAGAACATTTTTTGAATCACGTAAAATTTTTCACAAGTTAATCCAATTTACATCCTGCTAAATTTTGTGAAAGACAGATTGTTTTAAACATGTGTATGGTACTGTTACCAGATATTCTTCCACATGGTAAAAGTACCAATTTGTAGAGTATTAGAATCATTGTCTTTTTCCTTAACTCTAAAGGTGAATATTTATAATCATATCTGCATAACTACTTAGCCAAATACTGATTTCAGTAATTTTTAGAAAGGATGGCTTAAGATGTTATCCAACAATTTAGAGATTGTATCTCTAGGAATAGCTCATTCTCAAAGTTGTTTTTGTTGTTGTTGTTGTTGTTTGTTTTAGTTTTCCTACAAATCTGTAAAGCAAACTCTTCGTAAGAAATGACATCAAGCATTTCCTAATGTTGCCACTGAATGTGTTTCCTTCAAAGAGTACAAACTATTGTGTGGGACGCTATAATGAGTCAATTTTAAGAAAACAACTTCTCTTCTGAGGAATATTGATTTTTGGTGGGAAAACTCTGGGAATATTCAGTCTATGTTGTTCTTTCCTAAACCTTTGAATGAAGACTGTTCTCCATTTCTCCATTCCTCCATATTCCAGATGTTACCTTTGTTAGACTGCTCCTTTCCCTTGCTTCCACAATCTCTTATAGACCTTTCAGTATCCTAACCCTCACTCTCTTCATCAAATTAAATGTGCACCAGAGTGCAGATCATCAGTTAGCTTCAATTTCTCTTCCATACTTATTTATTACTTTATTGTCAAACTTGGACACATGAAGTATGGCACTAATTTTTTTTTTTTTTTATTTTCTATCTATCCACCCTTTCTTATTTCATCTCCCGAATCCAGCCGTCCATTTCAATGGAGTAGTGCTCCATTGAAAGAGTGTCTTGATATGCCATATATAAACTATATAGCAACCAATAATGACCACTTTTAAAATTTTATTTGTAACTGACATCATATTTATGCATTTTTGTGGGGTACAATGTGAGGTTTTGATAAATGCAAACATCAGTGAATCATCAAAGCATACTCATTATCTCATAAATCTATCATCTCTTTGTGGTAAGGACATTTATATTTTCTCTTCTAGCTATTTTGAAATAATCAGAGCAATATTGTTAACGATAGTCACCCTATCATGCAACAGAACACCAGAGCCCACTCCACTGGGTAACTGTGTACTCATTGGTCAATTTATCACTGTTCCTTTCTCTTTCCTCCTCTTTCCAGACTCTGGTAACAACAATCTACTAACTATATGACATCAGCTTCTTTAAATTTTACACGAATGCTATCATGTATTATTTATCTTTCTGTGCCTGGCTTATTTTACTTAAAAAAAATGTCCTCTAGGTTTATCCATGTTGCTGGAAATGATGGGATTTCATTTTATAAATGGCTGAATTGTATTCCATTGTGTATATGCATCACTTTACCCATTCATTTTTGATGAATGCTCATTTTTGATGAATACTTAGGTTGATTCCATATCTTGGCTATTGAGGATAGTGCTGCAATAAACATAAGAGTGAAAATGTCTTTTTACATAGAGTGATTTCATTTCCTTTAGATATATATACCCAATGGTGGGATTGCTATATCATATGGTAGTTCCATATTTAATGATTTGCAGAATATACCTACTGTTTTCCATAATATCTCCACTAATTTACATTACCACTAACAGTGTATCAGAGTTTTTCTTTTTGAGCAGCCACTATCGTATTTATTATTATTTTTTTGTTTTTTGTTTTTTTTTTTTGACAGCAGCAATTCTAGTTGAGGTAAAGCAATATCTCATTGTGATTTTTCATTTGTATTTCCTGCTGATGAATGATGTTGAACATTTTTTTACATACTTGTCCATATGTCTTCTTTTAGGAAATAACCTATTCAGGTCTTTTGTCCATTTTTAATGGATTATTTGGAGGGTTTGTCTGTTAGTTTTCTTTTTGTTTGGTCTTATATTATTGAGTTGTTTGAGTTTCTTATACACTTTGGACATTGATACTTTGACAGATGCATAGTTGCAAATGTTTTCTGCCATTCTGTAGGTTATCTCTTGACTGATTCATTTTCTGTACAGAAAATTCATACTTTGGTGTAATATCATTTGTCAATTTTTGCTTTGTTTGCTTTGAGGTCTTATCCAAACACATCCTTGCCTGACCAATGTCCTAGAATATTTTCTAGTCGTTTTACCATTTCTGGACTTAAATTGTTTGATATATTTTAAACTGATGTTTGTTTTGTGGTAAGACACAGGGGCCTAACTTCATTCTTTTGCATATGGTTATCTGGTTTTCCTAGCACCAGCTGTTGAAGATATTGTCGTTTCTCTCTCCATTATGAATTCTTAGCACCTTTTTCAAAAAATGATTTGGCTGATCATAAGTATGTAAAAACTACCTTTGTCTTTTCCATTCAGTTACATTGGTCTATATTTATGTTAGTATCATGCTGTTTTAGTTACTACAGTTGAGTACTATATTTTGAGATATTAATTCTTTTAATCTATTCTTAATCTTATATGACATGAAATAGTTCTTAAGATTTTTTTATTCCTTTGTCATCCATTACACTGAACTTCCTCATTATTTTCCTTGTGTTGGACACAGCTATGCATTATTTAAATACATTTTTAAAAAATTATTCTATACTCAGTGAGTGACTGTAAGACTCTTTTTCATTCTCCTTTGGTTGTCACATTTCACATGGACTCCTCTCTCATGGACTGAACTACAACTAACCTAATTCCTCAATCTATGTCTTTTGGCCTAGGCTTTGTCCCTGTGTTAATCTGCTCAAGCCACTATAATAAAG